TGGCTGGGATCGATAAGGGTTTGGGTTCGCTGATTAGTCTGCCGTTAAGAGGCTAATTCTCATAGATTGCGCACTATTTCATTACTAATTTTTGCCGATTAACGCAAAGCAATACTCGAAAGGGTATGTTGTGAATGGGGCCGTGATTCAGCTGGACTAACGTCGTTGACTGATATCGCCCGTCAGACAATGTCTGTGATTCACTCCGTTTCCCGTTTCCCGCTTGCCGTTCCCAGAACCCCAAAAAAAACTTCTTCTTTCAGAGAACTCTCAAGTGATGCGGTGCTGTGCGATCATTAAAATTCGAAACCTGTCTTTGGGCAAAACGAAAATCAAAGAAATTTTAATGGATTCCCTCTCCATGCCTCCACAAAACTCGTATGGTGGAGGCACGTGGCGGGCTGATTTGATTGTTTCTGCAATTGCTTTGAGGGCAAGAAGGTTATCGAGGCGTTTCTTTGACCTTGCCCAACATTTTTCCAAACAATTCAAGAAATTCATAAATACATACATATGTTAATGCCGGAAGCTGGAAGTCGTTAAAAGTCATTATTAATCTGTGTGGCTGTTTGGCTGTTTCTGTCCTTCCTGAAGGGTATACAATCTGGGGCACGATCTCGTGACAAAACAATGTCTAAAAATGCATCGAACGATCGTGATAGGTACATCATAAAGTGACCTGACAACCGACAACCACACGCTGCTCTAAGCTCCAGCCAGTAGTCAGTTTTATAGAATGATTTCCGTCTGGGATTATAGCCCCCCCTGATCACTGGAACGATCATTTTGGCGGTCAATTACTTGAGCAAACTTCCCTCGGAGTTTCACTTTGCGGTGACCTTTTTTCCACGGTTGGAAAAGGGGGTTGGGCCGTCGCTAGTGCTGTCATTGCATTGCACAAATATATACAGTATATATAGTACATAAAGCACTTGATCTTTGACTGTCACGCTCGTTTGGGCCCGATCCCTGTTGGCCCCCACACAGACAAAATAGGTAATATAATTGAAAAATTTTCAAAGGTTTTGTTGACTTTCGGCTTTGGTTCGTTGTTTTATTTTCATGTGCGATTTCTCGGTTATTATTGGCTTTGGGTAAATATTGAGTGTTCCCTAGAGAGAGAGAGAGAGAGAGCTACACTCCGCTTTGGAGAAACTTCTAGAATTTAGGAAGTGCTTTCTTCTAACCCACGTATGTGGATATTTATAAAACATTCTCATTGTTCTTGTTGCAGATTTCAGCTTCGTGGCCCGCTCATCATATGGAACACAATGCTGGCGATGTTCAGCATCATGGGTGCTGCCCGCACGGCGCCGGAACTGCTCCATGTGCTCCGTCACTACGGACTTTTCCACTCAGTCTGTGTGCCCAGGTTAGTAGCAATCCCCAATCACCGATCCGCAATCAGATTCAAGGTTGCTTTTGCATACAATGAACCCAAGAGCTGTTGAAACTTGATTGGGTGGATTCGGTGGATTGTGCTCCCCTTTCGATTCCGACCGATATTTCACCACCTTTTCTCTCTCCCCGCAACGACAGCTACATCGAGCAAGATCGCGTGTGCGGATTCTGGACCTGGCTGTTTGTGCTCAGCAAGCTGCCGGAGCTGGGGGACACGATATTCATAGTGCTGCGCAAGCAGCCGCTTATCTTCCTGCACTGGTACCACCACATCACCGTGCTGATCTACTCGTGGTTCAGCTACACGGAGTACACCAGCTCGGCGCGCTGGTTCATCGTTATGAACTACTGCGTGCACTCGGTGATGTACAGCTACTATGCACTGAAGGCTGCCCGCTTCAATCCACCGCGATTCATCGCCATGATCATCACGTCCCTGCAGCTGACGCAGATGATCATCGGGTGTGCGATCAATGTGTGGGCCAATGGCTTCCTGAAGACCCACGGCACACAGTCGTGCAACATCTCGCAGCGCAACATCAACCTCTCCATTGCCATGTACTTTAGCTACTTTGTCCTATTCGCGCGATTCTTCTATAAGGTGTACCTGTCGCCGGGCGGCAACAAGAGCCGTCGCATGGCTGCCACTCTCGCCGGCCAGAATGCGGTCAAGCAGCCGGTGGACCACATCTCCTCATCGGGCGGCACTCAGTCAGAGGATCAGGCTGCCTATCTGCGCAAGGCCAAGGCGCAGTAAGCAACAGCAGCAGCAGAAAGAGGAGGGGCAGGAGCAGGAGCAGGACCGGAAAGAGCAGCGGCAGGAGGATCTGTTAACGGCTAAGGATGGCTAAGGATTTATTTATGTAGCGGTGTACACGTTGTTTTTTAATTTTAACCCCAGGGCCAGCCAGCAGCACACACACACATACACACACACACACAAAAACAGACAGACAGACAGAAATTCTAGAATTTTTAAGCATAAAGTTGAAACAGGTTGACAGGCATATATCCCCCCTATTCTGTACTATATATCTGGATAATGTATATAAGAAAAAAGGCAACCTCGAGAGCTGTATGGCATAGGAGTAGGAGTAGGAGTAGCAGTAGGAGTAGGCGGAGAGACTGTGGAACATGAAGCGTCGTACACTTAGCTGCTATATAGACTCTGTAAGGAATGTTGGAATGAGGCATCCTTCTATATATGTATAAGGAAGACGGAAATGATTGTATCCCCAGATCAGATCAGGCAGTTCTGTCTATAGCGGGGATCTAGAGTTATATAGAGATAGCCACACCACGACACCACCACACCAGAAACATTCACATTCACACACTTCTTTTCTCCAAAAAGCAGTCTCAAAGATTCCCCTCCGCAAATACAGATTCTGTACAGTTGTAGTGTGCTGTTGAGTCCCAAAAAGAAACAAAAAAAAGGTCGTATATATATATATATATGTATATACATATATATATATGTATATACCGGTTTATATCTATTATTTAACTTGCAGATTTATTGACAGCCTCCCGAATTGATGTAGATTTTCGATTGCATTGCGATATTTGCGTTGTCTTCTCAGGTGGGATTTGTGTTGCCTCCTAAGTTAGTTAGAAATTCTCATGAACACACGCTGTACCCCCCTCTAGTGTATCTAAGGGATATAGATATTCAGGCAGAATAGGCGTAGCGAAAGCGTGGGGTCGGGTCTGAGAACTTTGTACTCTAAGTCTATATACATATACAATATATATTTATAAAACTATCTAAATGGAATATTAACGAAGCAAAGAAACAGAAACGGAAGCAAAACAGAAGACACTATAAGTTAGAATATTGTTCCACGAACCACGATCCACGATCCACGAGCGTAAATCGCAAATCGTTTTGTAATGTAATAAAGTGTTTTTTTAAAAAGTGCAGTGCATCCATTTAACACCACCATTTAACACACCACGCAAAGATTAAGGCATTATATATTATATTCAGAGTTCTGTTAGGGGAAGGCATTTATTTAGTTAACCTTTGCATAGGATTTTGGATACTTTGTCACAGAAAACGATAACCGATAACGAAAACGTACAGTTTCTACACACAAAAGGAAGTCCTTGAACGTAACAAAAGCTTAAATTATGTATATATATTTATATTTGTAAGCAAAAGAGAATGTTGATATGAATATGAATATGGATATGGATATGGATATGAGAAGTCGAAAAGCAAGAGAGAGAAAGAGATAAACCATGGAAATGAAAAGCAAAAAGTCCTACTTGAAAAGTTAATTTAGTGTAAACGAGGAAACTGCAACTGAAACTGAAACCGAAAAAGGAAAAGAAACCGAAAGATGATCGGGTGAGTGCGGGAGGATGGGATGGATCCTGCGATAGGGTAGGATCCCGATGATAGACGATGCGCCGTAGTGGTAGAAATTGAAACGAACAAATTTGAACTTTTTTGTCGGGTATAGATACTAAACAAAAATGAAGAACAAAACAAAAGCTAATAATGTTTGAAAATGCTAAACAAAACCAACGGATAAATAAAACGTAACAAAAGGAAAAGGATGGAAAAACAAAAAAATTCATGTGTTTCTCTTGGTTGCGGGAATAGGATTGGGCGCCATAGTTTCCGCCTCGGAGACCATCCCATTTGGTTGTGAAAAAGCCGCAAATCATTCACACTCACTGAATCCCATTCTGGTGTTGGCCTAAACGATATAGCCGGGTGGCACCTGGAGAACGAAATTTTCACTTTTGGTATACCTGGGGCATGATCTCGTCTCGCAACCCCTTCGTGAGGAGCAACACAGTGCCAACATAATCAAAATTAATCGAATTTCTTACAATATCGCGCTTCCAATCTGGGGACCAAATTATAAAGGTGTTCTCGTCTGTCCATGTATATCAGATTCTCGTCTGACCATGTATATCAGATTGCCGAGTCTGGTCCACATCGGAACATTATTATAGCCACAAGAAACAAATTCAATTGCATTGGCTAAGCCACCCCTTCCACGCTTCCAAGGGCTTTTCCCATTCTCTCTATTGCTCTATCTCGCTCTTAATCGTGCAGTGTGCGCCCTCTGGCGGAGGGAAGCAAGATAAAACGGCAAAAGACAGATAAAATCGAATATACAATAATTTGCCAAACTGTCAACCGATTTTTATGAATTTTTTTTTTTTACAAAAAATCAATTTGTTAATTTTTGCGAACAGCGTCACTAAACGACATTAAAAAAATATATTCTATAAATTACGTAAATCATAAGCTCACGTATGTTCATAGTATGTACATACGTATATACTGACAGAGTACCGGGTATAAAGTAGAGCCGCAGTGCACGTCGCGGCTCACCACGTACCCCTCGTTAATTATGAAAATCAGCCTCTTTGAAAGATCGTATGAAATGGTTCCCAATTAAATTGAAAGGATCATATTTGAGTGCATTAAGAGACACTCGTTCTTTAGTGTGTGTGAAACACTACTTTCTGTTAAAACTTCTCCTTTTCGAACACTGTCAAATAGAAGTACAAACATCTCATCTAGAATTTATTCAGTTGCAAGGAAGAATCCCTTCAAAAAGGTTCATTTTACAAAAAAGTTTTTCTTACTCGGTAAATAAATATTTTAGTTTTGTGATTTTGTGATTTATTAAATTCAACTATATTTCATCTTTGCAACTTTGGCTCTTTGTTAGCGATGCCAAGAGAGCGCGACGAGCGTCGTTTGCCCGGTCGGGATCTCCGAGGCCGGGCTCACCATCAGATCGAGGCCGAGTTACCGTGGCCCGAACGCTTTTTCGCGGCCTGGTCCGGCATCCATATTATAGCGGCCGCAATCGTTACGGCACTGGTGGCGAAGTTCATCGTGCTAAAGTATCAAGAAGCGGACCCTGGGCGAGACGCCCTGGTCGTTTCGTGGCACAAAGATCCAACGCTGACAGTCTACAACTCAGTCGAGGACTCCTTGGACATTCGTCGTATCTTCAAGCATATTGGCGATCAAGTGTTGAGCCGGAAGGATACCCTCGACTACATGCAACAGAGACTGAGTCCCGATCAAAAGATCCGTTGGGTGGCATTGGTCGGCCCACCCGACGTTGGGAAGACCATGATAACTGATGGCTTGCGCAAGACATTCCCCTGGCAGGACAAAGTCTTTTTGTACTCTTGGAATGCCAGCGCGCAACCCCTGAAATGGCGAAACGAAATATCGCAGCAGTTAATACACCAGCTTTCCAACTGCGGCACGAACCTGATCGCGATAGATATGATCACATGGGGAGACTTTACTGTGGGCAACACCTACAAGGGGATGTTACTGAATCGCTACTACAATCTGAAAAACGGGATGAAGATGGCTACTCGTACGGATTTGCTGTTGTATGTCTTTGACTTGTCCTCCGAGAATCTCGAGCAGCAGCTAGAAAAACTATACAGCCGAATATCGAACGAGACGCCTATATTTAAGTTCCGTTCGCTTGACATGGAGGGACTACAGAATTGCCTCGTAGAGCAGGCCAGCTTTACAACCGAATGGCCGAAGGCTACGCGGATAATACTGGGGCAGTTCGAATGATTCAACAACTGATGCTACAAACCCATCCAACCCACAAGAGGACACACAGCTTAACACTGATCCACTCAGCAAGAGAAGGCAAGTTAACAAACTACCTAATGTCTAGTCTAATTTAACTAACCCATTATCATTGTTATTTTTATAGCCGATACTCAAGAAGAAAGCATAAAAAGCCGGACGATATGGCCATGTCGGTTTTTCCGTCTCGATAATAGCCTAGGGACTAATCCCGTATAAAATTCCACCAAATACTTTAGCCTAGTTATAACCTCTTGTATTTAAGAGAATTTTGAAAAAAAAAAGCGTAAAAAAATTCAGGATTTGAAGAAACAAAATTCGTTTTTATCACAAAAATTTCCCTACATTCCATTCACACTTACATTATTACTTAGGTTTCAAAGCAGATTGGAAAATGGAATTTTAGAGTATAGAGTATACAGAGTATACAAGCGTTACCGCGTAGTTTCCATGTATCGAATATGTGAATGTATATTTCGGTATATTTCTGAGGGTCTGACCATATAAGTTATCGGTAAATCCGCGGTCACACGATTCCGACTATCAACAAAACAAAACAAAAAAAAAACAATTTAATAAAGTAAATTAAAATATTTGAATCTCTATTAATTTTTGGGGGTGGTCCTGAAAAGGACCGATTTTTTAAAGAATTCTCGGCTATGTTATCCAACGTAGACCGGATCCAGTAACCATTTCCATCACTCCCACAACAATGGCCATTGTCCGTTATATTCCTGCCGATATGCAGGCAGAAGATCAGTATGGTTAATCACCTGCTGAACCTGGCGAACAATCACCGACCCGCCCAGCTCCAAAGCTCTAAAATTGCAAATTGCAAGGCTTGTACGAACCTCACCTAGCCGTGCTTATATGTACATACGATGTAATATGTTTGAGGACGAGGAAATTTTAAATTTGATTTTGATTTATATTGTCTGTCCGTTTTGCCTGTTGCCCATACCCTTTTCTCCTTACAAATTTCCCAGCGGGGTATATCGGTGTATCGCTTTATTACGTTTTATTTGTTTGACCTTATTCGCCAAAAACCTTTTTTTAAAGCCAGTATTTAAATTAAGCCAGTCAGTAGGAAATTGATCTATTAATCGGATTAAATTATGTGGGAAGGGCTGAATGTTCTATCTAGCTAGTAATATTCGACGGAATATCAAAAACGACCAATATGTATAATAGAACTTGAATTCGTTAGTATATTTACGGTATATTTTGAAAATGGGTATACTTTATCGATGGGTCCGCGGTCACACAGATTTTCTTGCCACCACATCTAGCTCACACACCTTGCAAATTTTATACTTTTCATAGTATTTTACAGTATATTTTAAGACGCGGTATGGACTCACCCTCTTGTCCACTCAGAGCCATGTCCCAAGCCACATCGAATTCTTAGTCGTGATCAGCATCGAGTTCCTGATCGTTTGCCATCAAAATCTCACTTGTTCTAAAATTTCGGAAAAACAGGCATTTTGAAAAGTGGATAGCGGAGGTTCTTACACTGGCGCTTCGATGGTGCTTATATGAAAAATAACGGGCAACAATTTTTGAATCGTCAGCATATCCCCTTCAGGTGTCGTCTTTGGTAAATACAAATGTAGTTGATAAGTAGCAAATGTGTAGTTAGCGTATGGTGAAAATTATTGTTTACCGGTTCTGATTAAACCTTATTTTATAAGCATTGCAATAAAGATGAAAACATATAATTAACCAGTCTTGTAGGAAATTAACTTAATAATTGGATAAAACTATGAGTTCAGGTCTGAGGGTCTTAGCTAGCTAGTAATATACAACCGAATATAAAAAACGAGGAATATGATAGAACTTGAACACAAATAATTTGTCAGTATATTTACGGTATATTTTGAAAATGAGACGGCATATTTTGGTATATTTCTGAGGGTCGGACGGTATAGTTTATCAATGGGTCACGCGGGCACACTGCTGCTCGCAAACCCACAATTTTTTTTGTTGGTCGGGTGTGCGGTGTGTGCGGGGCCTGTGTGTGTATAAATTGAAAAATGCATAGATATAGATAAAACGGTGAAAAGTTTGTTTTTTTTTGTTCCAGTTATAATATGATAAATACGATCGGCGGGATATAAACAAGCTGTGTGAAAAGTGGGAGAGCAAGCGACAGGCGGAGGCACCGAAGACAAAAGTGCAGTTTTAGGGCGTGTTTGTAGCCCCCCGTACCCGCACTCGCTCCCGGTCCCCTCCACCCACAGCAGTCTGCGGCTCAGCGGAGATGCAAAAAGCTAAAGCTCCAGCAAACATGCAACAAATTATGCATCTGCTGCACCTTGCCTAACAAATCGAAAGTGGCAGAGAGAGAGAGACAGAGAGAAAAGGTTGGCGTAACATTTCGCAAACTTCCTTCCTTTCGTGTGTCTCCAATTTTTTTGTCTACTCCAAATTGCCAAGTGAAGTAGAAAACGCAGAAAGAGCAGAGAAGAGAGTGGAGAAAGAAAATGCGCAAGTGTGTGTGTGTGTGGAAGCAGCAGAGAGCGAAATAATGAAATGAAATAAAATAAATTCAAGAAAATTCAAAGCAAAGGCAAACGCAAATAATTGATCGCAAGTGTTGGCTGAAGGCAAGAGGAGAGAAAAAAATCACAGTATCCCAAGGTCCAAGGCGGAGCGGAGCAAAAAGAGTGTACAAATTGTTTATTGCTGCGCAAGAGCGATAGCAACGACCCACAACCCACAATCCACCACCCAGCCACAGTAGCAGTAGCAGCAGCAGCCGAGCTCCACCTCCGCTCCTGAAATGGGTGCTCAACAGGGAAAGGAGCGCGGCTCGCATTCGAGCGGTGGGGGCGGTGGTGGCGTTCCCGTCAGTTGCATTGGCCTCTCCAGCAGCAGCAGTCCCGTGGCCTCCGTCTCGCCCCATTGCATCAGTGCTGGCAACAGCAGCAGCGGCGGCGGCGGCGGTCCATTGGGGGTGGGCTCCACACTGCGTGGCTCGCGCATCAAATCCTCGACGGGTCATGGTCACGGCAGTGGCGGCGGGAGCAGCGGAGTCGGTGGCAGCAGCAGCGGCGGCGGTGGCTCTGGAGGATTATCACAGCGCAGCAATGCCCACAAGGATGCGAGGTGTAATCCCTCCGTGGGACTCAACATATTCACCGAGCACAACGGTAAGTGTCGCTGGGTGGAATCGGGTTATGCATTGGATGCATGTACACACAGACATATGCATGCCTGCGGTAGAAAGAGACAGTTTACATAGGAAGATGAATTAAAAGAAGAACGAACCCCCTGGCACCCAACATTGAAATGCACTTAACCAGTGTATACACACCCCTGAACACACAGATTATTGCATGTAGAATTTACACTGTGCTTAAAACAAAAAAAATCATTCCATTAGGTGTAAATATGTTTCATGTAAATTCTGGGATGCACAGTGGATTATATGTATGTACATATGTGCATAGTACATATCTTGTAAATAAAATGCATACAAAATAAGCAGAACACCCCTTCTCCTAGTGATATATTGTTCCATGGTTCATTGTTCATTCTGTGATGCACAGTGTAGTATTCCTTGTACATCAAATGCAGCTACACACCCACACGCACACATCCACACGAACACACACACACACACTCTCTGGCTCTCACTCTCTTCCTTGCGCTGCTCTGCTCTGCTCTCCCTGGTCGCCCTGGTCTCCCTGTTCTCCCTGCTGCTTTCCAATTGAGCCAATTTCTTCATTTCATTGCTTCCGATTATCATAGAAGGCGGAATGTGCGTCCGTCTCTCATTAGTGTTGTGTTGTTGTTGCCGGCTAGTTCTAGTTGTTGCTTTGCTTTTGGTTTGCTTTGGGATTTGCTTTTGTTTACAGCAAAGAGAAAAGGGAAGCCGTCGCCGTCGCCGCCGCCGTCATGTCCCGCACGCGTCTCGTGGGCGTCCTCTCCCCCGCCCTCTGCTCGAGTTGATGGAAATGTTGAGTCGGCCGACGTCTGTTACAGGGCGGTTTGAGCCCCCCCGCCCCTGCTTCTTCTTCATCTTTTCCATCATCCTGCTGCAGCACTCTCCACTCTCCACCCTTATCCCTGCCACCCGCACAGTGGTTGAAATTGTGACCTACGCATCCCAATTTCACCCTCGCTGACAGTGGCATTTCCTATATTTACTCCCTCCACCCCTCTACCCCTACACTCTGTGGTTCTTCCTCCCATTTCACGCACTCACGCACATTTTTATTTGCCTCATTTTCGTTTGCTTTTCCTTTTCCTCTTGTCTCATATTTTCGTATTATTTGCTTTGGCAAGTTGCAACATTTCCCTTTTTCCATGTCTCCTGTTTCCGCCCTCTCATCTGTTTCCCCATTTCCTATCCGTTTCTAATAGCTTTTTTATGTCCCTGTCGTCGCCAGCGCCGCTGTTGTCCTACCGCAATGGGGGCTTTCATTGAGTCTTTTGCGTTTTTGGGATTGGGATTCAGGAAAAGTGTTTGTCCGTTTTGATGGTTTGATAATTGAGTGCATTTGGGGGTGGAGAAGAGTCCCTAGGTTAGGAATAGCTACATGGATATATGGAATATTCCATGCAGTTTTCCACTCACCTTCTCCCTTTCGATCTCTTCTCGCCCTCTCCTTCTGTGCTCTATCTGGCTCTTATCTCACTTTCGCTCTGGCTATGAACCAGCTCCTTAAGCAATTTTTAATCAATTAATGTTATTTTTATTATAATTAGTCGCTGTATGCACTCGAGCCTCTACTGATAAGCAGATTTCCATGTAAATATGTATGTTTATAAAAAGCCCAGATTGAGTCATGCATCTCCATAATACAATAATGCCAATTCCGCAGAAAATATCGTTAAAACACACACACACACACACACACACACATACAATAGGAATAACAACATGATGACATTTGCCAGCTTTGTGCGAGAAAATTCCCACAGAAATATCCCAAATTATAAAAATGTACCTAATCCATGAATTCATGTTCGTGCGAGTGTTGGAAGAGTGCGGATAGAGAAGCAGTGCAGCCAGAGGTGCATGTGGGAGCAGGAGGAGAGCAGATGGAATTGGTTTTTTGTTTTGGTGCTGTTTCTTTGTTTGTTCGTGTGTTTGGTACGCCTGCAAAATGCAATTACGGAATTACAATGTAAAAACTGTGTCTGGGGCTGCCGATTACGGGTTCAAGCCGCCAGCAAACAGAAAACCGAAAACAACTACCAAAAACCGAAAGCAGAGACTCACCGCAATTGCTGGCAGCGCCAGGTCGATCTCAGGAGAGAGAGAGAGTGGGACAGGCAGACAGACAGTTGCGGAACTTTACTCCAACTCATTCACACACACACACACGCCCATAAGGAAAACAGCTAACATGACAATTGACGACACACAGAGAGAGGCAGAGCGGACAGAGCGCGGTCAAATGAGAGCTGAACTCTAAGCGTGGCTTGATCACAGTTATTTTTCCCAACCATCGCCCCACCGTGCACTGTGCACACACGCTGTGGGGGGGCGGCAGTTGTAGTTGCAGTTTCTGTTACACGAGACAAATGTAATTAGATACCTTTGGTGGGCGGCGAAAGGATTGTGGGAAAGAACTGGCCGAAGCAAGCTGATGCCTCAATGGAGTTTGCCAATTGCCATTCCATGCACCCCCACCTCCCACCAACACACACAGTCGCAAGTGGACGACAAGAGCGACGTCTCAAAAATAGACTCAAGTGGGAGAGGCAACAACTCCTTTGGACAACGAGAGTGCGAGAGACAAAGCGTATATGAAGTGTTGTTTGCTGTCTCGGCCTCACTCCCTCTCTCCCATATACAGTCGCATGGTAATCTGAGCAGCCTTGTTATACCCTTGCCAAGAGTCTGATTGTGAACGAACGTGTGTAACTCACGCAAGGATATAGTGTGCATAGTTTGAAAGCCCATTCGTGGCACGATCGGAATCCATCACATATGTACTTATGTACATATAAAGTACGTATAGGTCTGCAAGGGTATTTGAAGCTTCGTCATCCTATCTCTCTCTCCCTCTTGTTGGTGTGCGTGTTGGTGTCGGACTCCGGTATTGCTTGACATGCAAGCGGGAAATTATGAGTCGAGGCAAATGAACTTTTCACAAGGCTAATGGGCGGATTGGAGTGGAGTGGAGTGGAGGGGGAGGACACAAGGCAAACAGGTGACGCAGCAAGGAATGGAAATTGTTTACTCTTTGGCTATCGCCCCGCCTCCCTTCACATAACACCCACCCACACCCAGCAACTCCCATAATGAATAAGTCGCATAAATATTTCTTCAATCATTTTATATGCTCAAACATAATTGTTGCCATAAAGCCACTCGGCGAACGGGTGCGCGCGGCAAAGGGTGAGGGAGGCAGGCGACACATGATGAAGGCGTTGTCTCCATTACCACTTTGTAAGTGCTGTTTCCTTTTCTCTTTCGCCGGCTGCATTGCTATTATTAGCCTTCACCAAAAGGAAATGCGTATCTCTTTATATAAATTTCCCTTACGCTGGCAGAGATGGAAAGTTGTGACAGTGGCTGCGGAGGGGGGGAGTCAGCGTAAAGGGATGGAGCTGCCCCCTTTGGCATGACCTTTGACTATGCCTCTGACTCTGAGTCTGATTTCTACTGCAGCACTCAAAGTGCACTCTCATCATCGTGATACTTTGCATGCTATGCTCTCGCTCTCGCTCACACTCGCACTCACACTCACAGCCCATTCCATTCGATTCCATTCCGCTCCATCTCTCATTCTCCCTTCCGCAGGCCAAAGGTACATGTGTGTATTCGTGTTGTTGTTGCTGTGGTTGTTGTTCCTGTTTTCGATCAAGCTCGTAAATCCTTTCGTGCTTCATTTTGTTTCGTTTTCTTTTTCGGCCCCTTTGTTGTTGTTGCTGTTTCTCTGCATTGCAATGCGCTTTGATGTTTTATTTTTAGAGCAACGGCAAGACTCCGCCTGCCATTTCCAGTTGTTGTTCTCGCTTCCCCCACCCCACTCTCCCGCATCCCACAACCCGCACTCTCACTCCAGGCCCTTCCACTTGCATGGACTGTCAATCGGATTGGAATAACAGTGTGCTACTCCCAACAGCTGTTCGATGGTTGCTTGCATTTGATTTACAATTGGACAGCTATCAAATCAGATCAGATCAGATCAGACAGGGAATTTTTAAGGGAATTTCTATTTGAATTCCGTATTTCCATTAAGAACTTGAGCATTCTTCCCATGAAATTCCCTTTACGATCTGTTTATATTGTTATAGATCATTATAAATCTTACATCGCTATTATTTTGATGTCATTTCCCCATTTAAAATATACATATATTTTACCATTCCCATCCCCAAGTTCCAGACACTAAATCTGTTGATTACCCAACTTTTGTCGCTGCATCTCGAATTTGATGTAATTTTCGTTTTTCCACTTTTCCAATTTCGCATTCCCAGTGGACCGTATAGTGGTGTCTCCTCCTACGAGAAACCTATTTGCCCGCATTTTTATTTCTGGAGTCTCGCTGTCCGCCCCGCCCCCCAGAGGTCTTTCGCCTCATTGAAAATTGTTTGCATAAATTAGCTGACGAAAAAAATAGAGGAAAAAGAAAGAAATTGGGGAGATGGGAAATGGGGAGTGTGGCGTGGTGTGTGGGGAGGAGGAGGAGGAAAACAAACATAATTTGTAAACAGCTGAAAAAGAGACAAGAAAAATATATACATATTTATTTCTGGAAGGGGGGGAGTGGATGGAAAGCAGGGAGATACATATGTACATGTCTGAAGTGTAACGGCAACTAATTAGAAGCCAAAAATTCTCCATTCTACCATTTTTCTTTATTTTCTTTTGGCTCTGAATGCCTTTCCAGAGGGGCCTGAAGGAATATGGTAGAGGGTGTCCAAAGTTCGTTGCATTATAGTTTTCCTTTTTGCTTATTTGTTGCGTTGTGATTATTTGAGGTCATAAATATTGACGCCACTTGATTGATGGATACTTGGGGCGAATACAAACACACATGCCCATGCCCATGCACACACACACACACACACACACACACACACACACACAGACACTATCTTTATCTTTACCGTTCGATTATGAACATGTCCCTAAGGGCAATCAGAGGGGACGAAGCATTCAACTTAATATATTTATTTATAAATTGTT